GGGTTCATCAAGCCAGACAGACTACCGAAAACACATCAAAGAAGAAGAGATAGAGGAATTTATCAAAGGTGTGCAATCCGGCGCCGAGGAGATGGAGGAGGAAGAAAACGAAAAGGAGCAAAAAGCAAAGAAAAAATAGTATTACCGAGAGAAAGAGTTAAAAAAATACTAACCAAAAAAGGCTTATAAAAAAACATCATGCGAGAAATAACAATATGTTAAAAACCCATGACTTACCAGATTTGCCGGGTTTAGGCGGAAAGCATTGAGTAAAACTCAAAGGCGCGCAAGGATGAAAGAACTCATAGGATAACACTATTTGAAAAAAGACTTACTTCATGGCGACCATTGGGATGTCATGGATAGAACGGGTCGCAAAATATAAGAAGTAGATTTTACGGGTCGACAAATTTGACCCGATGGTCCCAAGCATCGCCGTAAAAAACCTTAAAATAAAATTGTAAAAAATTTTAATAATGACAACAACAACTCCCTACATTCATTACCAGAACACCGAGGAATGAGCCATTATTGCTCGTTTGTTAGAGGAATTGATTAATAATCAAGATATCGAGTTAAAAACTTCTCCGGAATATGTAATCGGCTATTTGGTGGAAAAACTTCGTAATAAGGATCTCCGCGACGAAATAAAGGCTTTTGTTGGTAATCAACAATCCCAACTCAACCAGCCAAGCCACTAATCTTTATTAAATTATCTAGAACCTTTTTCTAGAAAGAAAAAATAATAATATTGTATAATGAGTGGTAAAAAATGAAGCTAAATCTCCCCTCGAATTGTCTCTCTGTTGTATTGATGACAATAACAACTCCTCTTGTTCTCTCAAGGCACCAATAAAGTTATGAAGTTAACTTCTCCTTTGCAACAACAAGGAAAAAAGAAACTAATTTTAGTTTACTTATTCTTCTTAAATGGTTTTTTAGTAGAAGGCGGCGCGAGCAAAAATTTTAAAAAGTGCTTAAGTTGGAATTTAGCAGGCGGCTCTAACGGGCGTTATGATGGCGAGATTAGCAAAATTGCTAGTTTTATTAGCAAATTAGATAAAAAACAAACATTTTGCTGCCGAGCGGTTGATGACGACTACGATTATACTAACTTAAATTGCACGCAAGAAACACCTAATTGCCCTTTTATTTCTCCAGTTGATGATTACGAAGCAACTTGAAGAATTCGTGGTCAGTGTGAAAAGACTAGTGATGCCAACTTTTGTATTGTTACAGAGTGATGGCAGAAAACATTGTTCAGCGAGAAAATAATTAACACGACAAACTGAGGGTGTGGAGGAATCATAGATGATGCACGACCAAGCAATAATTATACAAATGGAGATTGTCCCGAGTTAGAATCTGTAGCGCATATACTAACCAAATCTGCGGCTTTGTCTCATGCTCAGTCATGGCTATGTTGTGGAAATAATACTTGTCAAGAAAAATCTCCTGTTTTTTTGAATGGTACTGGTACTTTTAATACTAGTTGTGCAAACAATCAACACAGTCTAGCCTGTTTTAGTAACAACGGAGCTTGATCATGTATTGGAGAGAAAAACACAAATGGTCAGCAGCCTTTCCGATTTGGTTCCTGTACGCTACAATTATTCTATCCTTCGACAATGGAGGTTAACTCTTCTGGGTTACCCACTCCCTGGCCGGTTGAACTCATAGGAGCAATTATTTCGCTAGTTTGTGTAGCGACATCTGAAACCGAAAACTATTCTTTGGGCTGATTGGCCAAATTCTCTATAGCTCTCACTCTGATCCGTTTCTCATCCGCAGCAGGAAGTGCTTTTTATCTCTTGGGAACCAATGGTTTAGGTGGATTTTACTATCCAGCTTTAGCTTGATTGATCCCTATAACCTTGTTGCCAACAGTATATTCCCTAGAAAGAGCTTTAATGAACTCAAGAAGTAATGACCAGACTCATTTGGAAGAAAGGGTAGAAACGAGGTTAAGCAAGACTCACAAATTGTTAAGTTGGCTAACTTGATTATTGATAGTTATTGATCTTGCTTTACATATTTGAGCAAGAATCATACCCTCTAGTTCCTTAGGTACTTCCAATAGTGCCCAATTTACTGTTGAATGCAAACCTAATTTTTCCGACAGCAGAAAATACGGAGTGGTTATTTGTAATGAAAATAACAACCGTTGTTATGTGTGAGATAGTAATGCTATTAATGCTTCTGGTGTTGATTTTTGAATGAGACTAGTTGGCTTAAATTTCATCTTTTCAATTCTTGCCGGAAAATTGCGCTCCCTGTTTTCTCGTCGAAGAGAAAGAATTAACCGTAATGAACAAAGAGGTTGGTATTGTTTAGACCAATTAATTGAAAGAACCAAAAAATATACTGGCAAGTTAATTAGTGTTTGAATTATTGCTGTTTCCCTTACTTATTTGGTAAGTTCTGCAGTGTTACAGTCGCGAGGACTGGGGAGCGAAGGAAAATATCTATATTTAGAAAATAGTGAAAAATTATGAGGTCATGACGAAGGGAAGTTTTTGGAAAATTGTGACGTTAATCCCGCACTTTTTAGTAGTAAATTTGGTTATCTTCAAGAATGATGAGCAGACAAATTCAATATTGCTCGTAAGATTGCTTTGTTGTAAAACAACTGAATACTATTTTCGTTTTAAAAAAATAAATATTGGTTCGCTTGGTGCTTAAAATGCTTTTCAACGAAACATTAAGAACCTAAATTCCCTAAATTCTTCCTATTGTCTAAAAACTAACTAAAATTGACCAATAGGGAGAATTACACATGCCCCCTTTTTAAGTATTCATTCAATAGTCTCCTTCGTAGATAACGCAGTAAACACCGAATTCTTTTTGACAGCAAAAACAGTTAGCCGATTAAAGGAAGTATTTTGGGAGTTTCTCTCTGTCAAAGTCAACTCTTCAAGTTTTTCTGTTTACCACGATGTTATGTTAGAGCTAATTGTCTAGTTATTTTACTAAATGCTTCATTAGTATTATTTCAATTGTGACTAACTCATTCAGGTAAATAACCAGTTTTACTACTCAATAGTTTTTGATTGATATCACAGCTTTCTAAGCCGGTAGTATTTAATATTTTAGCTTGATTTGTCGCAATAACTGCTGTGTAAGAAATTAAAGCTAGACTAATTGAACAGTAAAGAAGAGTTTTTACTCAAAAGTCTTTCGTTCCAATCATTTCCTTCATCTTTTTTAAAAGCGAATAAAGAATAAAAAGTATCCCGAATACTAATCATCACACTACAAATGCCATTGCTACAAATGCCAAAAACAGACCTATAATCGCAAAAACAGCAACGACTTGGGTATCTCTGTCAAAGGCAAATGCCAGTACGGTGAATAATGTTACTTCGCCCTTTTCCATCTTTTTGCCCACAGCCTCGACTATAGCTTTGCCGATAATGAAAATTAGGTATCCGAAAATTGGTAAACTAGTAACTACTGATAAAATTCCCATTACTAATGAACCTTCATCACCCGTTGAATTCATTAGGGCAAGCAAAAGTAATAAACCAACTGGTAGTATCATACTCAACAACCTCATAACAAAATTGGCAGTCAAAAGTCTTTTATCAGTTAAATAACAAAAATTATTTTCTTGACAATGAACTGAAATATAATCAGTGCTATTTGCTGCTTCAGTGCAATTAGTTAAAATTTGGGAGTTAGTAGTAAAATTATGGGAGTTATAATAGATAACGGTAGAAATAATTTGCCAGATAAAACTTATTGCTATTATTCCTCAACATAATCATCTCAAAGAATAGATTTTTTCCAGTGTTGGCTGGTTTTCTTCTCTAATTGAATTTCCTCCTAAGGCTTCTGAAGCGGGAGTAGTTGATTGCCTTTCTTGTAACTAATTGGCAGCGAAAAATTACAACCTACTATTTTAGAAGTTGAATGTGATAAAGAATTTATTACGGCTCATTTGAGTGATAGTCGTTCTATTACTATTCCTACTGGCTGATACAAGGTTTTCCGAGAAGCTACTTCTGAACAATTAAAGAATGCGCGAATTATGCCTGCTAAACGAGGTATTTACTGACCAGATTTAGAGGAATTTTTAAGCATTAGGGCTTTTACTCACGGCTTAAATGCGGGTTGTTAAAAAAAATTAGCCTTTGAAGTAGATTTTCTCCAGAAAGAACTGCTATAAAAATCAAGGTATAAAGATGGAAATAAAAAGTTTATTTGGCCTAGGAATGGCAGCCCTTTCTATCATAACCTTTTTTTAAATACTTGATTAAAACTTTCCACCTCTCTACACTTAACCGTTCCCGAAAATTTTTCGTATACAGGTTAAGGAAAAAATAATTTGCTTAACCTGTAATCCCTAAAACACGGGATTATTGTTCTACAGATTTTTCCCAGTAAACACAACTCACAAAGCTTCCCAAGCTTGTTTTCAAATTTTATTATCAACTTGACCCACTTTCCTAATTAAACGAAAGTTTTTATCGATAATTTGTAAGCGATTGAGAAGGATTTTGCTAGACTTATCTAAACCATTTTTTTCGTTAGGTTCAATTAGTACTTCAAAAGACGCTACACCTTTTTTTAACTCTTCTTTATCACTTGTCAATGGAGCAATTACTGAATATTTATCATACTGGTTTTGCCAATCGTTACTCATTATCAAAACTGGACGGATTTTAAAGTTTTCTCTTTCTCTTTTGCGGTTAAAATCGGCTATTCAAATTTCACCCTGTTTGGGGATACTCGTTCTTTCAGCATTTTTCATTTCCCCTTACTCAAGGATTTTGTTTGTTATTTCTTTACTCATCTGTCCACTCACCTATCAAACCTTCTCACATATTCTCCTCTTTTTGGAGATTTTTACTGTTGCCTGCTCGCTTATAATCAGCAATTAATTTCTTTTGAAACTCTTTTTGTTCCCGCTCTAATTTGTTATCGTTAATATTTAATTCTCTAATGATTAATTCTTCAACAAAACGACTAATCTTACCTTTTCCTATTTCCCGGTGTAAACGTTGATAAGTTTGCGGCTTAACAATAACACTTAAAGTTTGTTTAGCTGTTACATTTCTTGGTAAATTTCTCATAATTTATTTATCATACAATTATACAATGTTGCAAAGGAAATGCTATCCAGAAATTTTGGCTAAATTAAAGGAAGTATTTAATTTTCAAAAAAAGGCTTAATAGAAAGTAAATGTAAATTATGCATGATATTTTTGCTTTTTCTGCAATATGCCTAAACGTGGGTAGTAGTCCTCGTTTAACTCCAAGGAAGATATTGTTTAGCTGCTAATCATTCCATAAGATAACCTGTTTTGCTACTGAGTAGAGCAGGATTAATATCACATGAACCGAAGCGAACATCAAGTCCTCTAAATCCTTGAAATTGATAAATAGCATCTATTACTAAATACATGATCAGGTAAAAACTAATCAACCAAAAAACTGCTCGGAAAAAACTTTTAATTCCAGAAGTTCCTTTGTTTCTTTCAATTTTTTTACTAAAGCAATTAGTGATTAACAAGAAAAAAAACGGAAAAAGACTCAAAATCCTCTTCATAAAATCAGAATTCGACTGCCCTTTGATAAAACAGTGATAAAAATTATTTTCATCGCATTTAATACCAACTCCGGAGACTTCTTCATCGCAATTAGTAATAAACGGTGAGGAGACTAAGAAATTTTTATCGCTCTGGTAAACGGTGATGGCAAAAATTTGTCAACAGAAACTAAAAATTACTGATCCTCAACACAAATATCGCAAGGAATAAATTTTTTCTAATCTTTTAATCCGCTTTTTTTTCTCTCTTAATGCCGGCGACTCTTCAATTAATTCATTAGTAGAAAAATTACTTGAAGGAAAAGATAAGTTCTGTAAATTAAAAGTTTCTCCTTCGAGGACAATTTCGTTTTTTAACCTATTTAGCCCTCTTTTTACTGCTAACATTAAAGGTGGTAAAACCAGTGTGGCTGACAAGGCTGTACTAGAGTATTCGAAATTTTCCAAACCGCCAGTTCTTAGTGAATTTATACTAAAGGCTAATTCTAGTAAGATACTTGATAGGTCATAGGTGAACAAGAAAATAGCAAACCAACCAAACGATGATTCTTCCATTTGAAAAGTAAAAATGCTGACTATTGAAATAATTGTATTGATGGTTTCAATAGGCCAAGGAGTAGGTAGAGCGCCAGCATTAATCTCCATTGTGGAAGCTTTTGGTAATTGTAACAAACATGAACCTAGGGCGAGGGATTGGTTCCCATTTTTAACTTCATGTCCAGTGCAAGTTCAGATTCCGCTATCACTAAAACACATTAAGCTATGTTGACCATTTGCACAACTAGTATTAGCACTCTGGGTATAAATTGAGTCTACTATTACATTGTATGGCACTGAACACTCATTGTTGTCACAACATAATCAAGAAAAAAAATGAGGGACAGTGCCGGTCTCATTTAGGGTCTTTTCTACTATTTCTAATTTAGGACAAGTACCAGTTGTAGTTTCCTCAACGGGCTGTGAAACATCACCTACGATCCCCCCACAAATTTTTGAAGGCATGCTGCGGGTAGTTTGAGAAAGCGGTCCAAATTTGTAAGAAGTGGCAACGCAAAAAGTTGAATGTCCAATCTTGCTGCATTGTCCTTCAATATCGTCAAACCTTAATTCACACTTATTTGATTTTTTAAGAGTGCAATTTTGCTTTGCAAACCTACTAGGATTAGAGTCACAACAGAATTTTTGACCACTATCCAAACTATTATTGTTAACAAAACTAGTAATTGCATCATATATATTAGATTGTTTGCTAAGATATTTATGACGATCAAAACACTTACTAAGTTGCGAACCAGCCTGTGTTGGAGAACTATTGAGGAGGGTTGAAAAAAACAAAACCAGAATTTTCTTTCTAGTCTGAGTAGAAAGTCTTTCTAATTTCATAAGGACATTTTACAGCAAATATAATATTATTATCCCACAATTTTAACTCTTTTTCTCGTTCTTTAATTTTTAATAACTTCACCATAGTTAGCAAAAATGTCTGTCCCCGGAACTCTTTGGGGTTGTTGGTAAATTTCACAATTTACCCCCTCTTGATTTAAAAAGTTCCTAATTTTGCTGCTTACGCTAGTTTTGATAATTATAATTTCACGCATGGTAAATTTATATTAGGTTTTTTTACTGTGGATTAGCGAGAATTTGGGTCTGATATACTACTTCATTAGTTGTTTGTTTTCGAGTATTGCTTTCCCGTAAATTTTTATTTTCTTGCTTGTTGAACAATTTGTTAAATTTTTAAAGAAATGAATAAATAATTGAAGTTTGGATAAAATTGAAAAAAAAATTAAACTTGCCGAAGCTATCACGTATATCAACGGTTTTTTAACAATATTAACAGGTATTCTAGCATTAGTTTTTGTTGGTTCCTCGGCAGACTGAATTTATGTAAAAACTTCGGGTTCGGTTGCGGTAGTTAGCGGAACGGCTGCATGGTCAAGTGGAATATTCAAGAGTTTTTTTTAGAACCTCGCAAAAACGAACTAAGGGAAACTCTACCGCTCCCTCTTCATAGTCTTGATAGTAGGAGCAGTACTATCGATACCTACGTAACTGCTCCGGCTTTTCTCTAAAAATAACCTAACAAAACATTTGACCATGCCTGAAATCATAATCGTTAGAGAAAGCATTCCTAAAATCAAAAATTTTTTGGAGCGGGAAAGGATTAATTACGAAATTTCTCACGAACCCAAAATTTTACCGAATGAAAAATTACTGGAATACTTAGAAACCAAGAGTAAAGAAAACATTTTCGCTGATTATGACGAAGCCCTGAAAGATAAAGAACTTGAAGCCGAAAAAAGGTTATTAGAGGAAATGGACGACGAGGAGTAATGAGGCGAGTAATGATCGAGAAAGTAAAGAAAGGCGAAGTATACTTGTATCGGGTTAGCCGCAAAGAAACCGAAGGCACCGAAATAATGAAAACGCGGTTAGGCGTTATTTTTTCTACTAATGAACTAAACCGACGAAATAGGCGTTTTATTATTATTCCCCTCACTAGTAAAAAAGCAGATCGCATTTATGACTACGAAGTTTCTACATTAATCGAAAAAGTTAGAGGAAAAGCCCTAATCGACCAGATAAAAACCATTAATCAAAGCCGTTTATTAAAAAAATGTGATGAGTTAAATCCGAAAGAAATGGACGCCATTCACGAAAAATTATTAAGCCTTTTTGATAGTTGAGAGTATTTGAAAAGAAAAATAAGTTCTTAATTTTGTTAATCCCGTTGTTAAACCCAAAATCTAACTAAAATTTTCCTGTTTTTTAAACCTATAAACTTCCCCTATATCGTAAAATATATGTAACATGAGAAAGCGGAAAGTGAACAAGGACGCGTTTTATCCTAGCAAGTGAAATCCTATTACTAATATTGACCCTATTGAATTAACCAAGTTAGCATTAAGAATTGAAAACCAAGAACTAACCTGCTTGAAACAACCAAGCAAAATTCCAGTTTTGCCTTTTCTCATTTTCAACAAAATTATTTATCGCCTTTGGTGTTTTGAGTGTTTTACTGCTATTTGAGAAGCAGGGAGCCACTACATTATTAAAAATCGTCACGATGTTCGTTTCTGAGGTTTGCCGGAGAAAAAGGCTTTGTGTGGAAAGTGTCTGAAAAAAAGATTAGCCGAGATGCCACCACGTAAGCGTTATTTGTGGAGAGAGTATGAAAAAAAAGGGTTATGAAAAAAAGATTAATTACGATATAGGGGAAGTTTTTTCGTTTACGGAAATTTGTGAGATTGGTTTAATGTCCATGACCTCAACTGGTTGGGGTTGAAGGGTTTCTTTTGTTGGTGGGTTTGGCTTATTAGTTGGTTCGCTTTTAAAGTTCTTAATTGTAGGCTTAATTAGCCATTTCCATAAATAAGAAAAAGCAAACAAAAGCATAATGAGACCGCAGACTTGGGCTATATGGCCCACCGAGTTTTTGAGGGCGGTAAATCCGGTTTTTTCGCCTACCCAAGAAAGAGCCTTATAAATGGGCCCACCTTCGTAATTTTTTAGTCTGTTTTCCAGTTCGGTTATTTGGGCTTGCTTTTGGGTTATGTCGGTTTTAGTGCTGTTATGTTCCCTTTGCTCTTTTAGGAATTTATCATTGCTTTCTTGCTTCGCTTTGGCAAGGTTGCTTATTTCTTGGTCTTTGTCTCTTACCGTTTGCCTTAATGTTTCGTTCTTTTTTTCTTCTTGTGTTTTTTCATTAGAAAGTTTGAGTTGAAATTCTTGTAAGTCTTTCTTTTGTTTTTCTAATAGTTCAATTTCGCCTTTATAACCAATTTCTTTAATTTCTAATGCGGCTTTTTCTCGGCTTAATCCGTGTATTTTGGCATTTTTTTCGCTTATTTCGTGGGTTTTGGCTGAGGATAGTTTGAGTATTCTTTCCTTATCTTTCAATTGGCGAAAATGTTCCTCGTCTTTGTGTTGGTTTGCCAAGGTTAATCTTAATACTTCGCTTTCGTAGGCTTCTAAACGTTCTTTATCATTTTTGGCTTGGGCTAATAATTCGTTCAACTTGCTTTCTTGGGCTTGTTCGGCAGTTTGTAGTTTTTTTTGGTGTTCTTTTTGAAGTTCAACGGCTAAATTGTGGGCTTCTTGCTCGTCTTGTTCTTTTTTTGCTTTTTCGGTTTGTTCGCGTTCTTGGGCTTCTTTGACAAGTGCCGTGTTTTGTGTGTTAGCGTCTTGTAATTGGTTCGTTAGTTTGTCAATCTCTTTGTTTTTGTCCTCTATTTCTTTCATGGAAGCGTTTATGATATCCTTAACTTGATTTTTGTATTTGTTTTCTTGGATTTGGAGTTCCTTAACGACGTTAAGGGTTCTATTATAGAGGTAAGT